CTTTGCACTCCAATGAGACTTGAACATTCAAAAGATCATTCTCAATCGATACTTTGCAACAGTGAGTGAGAGAGAACCACTGGACAGAGCACTGCTTAACATAGACACAGTCCAAGTGGTCAACAAGTCTAATTAAAAGCAGTGATTCTGGAAGGAGGAAGTGTGAAACACGCTTTTCTGAAGTGCCATATCTTTGTCTTCATACTATTAAAATATCAACTAATAGGTCAATTTCACGGTTCAGGGAGGGCAGCTTTAAAATCTGGCCTGGACTTCACAGTAGCACTGCTTTGAGAGGCATGTCAAAATCTCTCCCACTCAATCTATCCCAATATATCCTGGGCAGACTACAGTCACATTTCAATATTAAAGATCTCCTATCTCCCCAACAAGTTTTAAAAATTACAGTACTCCTGCGTTTTTCAACCTAGTATCTGGTGTCTATTCTTTTATATGGCTGAGCAACTTGGATAGTCTTGTCAGACTTCTAAAGAGAGAAAGGGATGTACAAAACCCTAGAGGAATGAGTGGATTTCTTTAAGAAATGTGCTGGGAGATAGCATTAATTATCAAGACAATTTCTCTGGCAATATGATAGAAATGAAGGTTAATATCTTTCTATTTGCAGTTAATAGAAAATACTTTTCTGTAAAGATATTGTCCTCTCAGGATTCTCACTGTTGTGTCACTAGCTTCCACTGCAAGACAGGGCAGAATTCCCTTAACTCTCAAGTTTTTATCCATGCGGCCATGGTGGTTAAACGTGAGACAATTGAACCTTTCACACACTCCCGGACTCTCTCCAACTTCTGCCTCAGTTTCTGGAACCTTCTAGCAAGTTCTCTTTCAGCCATAGTTAGGGAAGAGCTCTTTGTAGGTCCTTATCTGACAGCATCTCAGGTATCTTTGCTTGAATCATTTTCAGTTTTTGCTGGTCTGTCTGTTCTTCTGCACCATTGGCTTAGCAGTCACACAGGTAGCACAGCCTTTTTGAAATCCATGACCTCTTACCGCCTCTGTGCTGATCTGGTCTGCTTCATTGGTGTCCCCAGAGCACTTTTTTTAATGTCTTAGCATTGTAGCCTTAATGATTTGAGTCTTTGTCCTAAATTATATTATACTTCGGTGCATTTCTTAGGCCCTCACAGCAGCAGAGCTGTACCACTACAGCTACACTCTGGTAATGTCACCTATGTAAGCCATTCTTTTGTCAGTGAAACTTATGTTGGTTAAGGGGAATTTTTTCACACCCCGACTGACAGCTTTACCAACAAAAGTGGTGCTGTACACAAAGTTTAGTGATCTATGATCTCAAGATCCCAGTGTGTTAGGATTTTTTTTTCTTCAAAATATCAGTCCTAATGTTGAGTATTTTACTGAATAAAAATACTCAGTACTTGACAGGTTCTAGGCTTTCCAGATCAATCAGTCTTCTGACAACTCTTGTCTTCAGCATCTTTATATTTGTACAGATCTTAATATGGATTTAGTCTTGTTTTGCTGTATATTTCATTTTTAGAAAGCTGTTTCCCTGGCTGTGACCCAGAAGGAGGAAGGAAGCACAGTAATTCCAAAAAGCATGAATATAGGTGCAAAATGTCCCTTACAGATGAGTGTGACTGCTCTGTGGAGATAAACATTACGGCTGTGTCTAGACTAGCAAGTTTTTCTGCAAAATCATCTGCTTTTGTGGAAAAA